TTCAGAAGCCACAAAATCGTCTCCTGATCTGCTCTAACCACTTCCGCCACCTGTAGGGCCGATGACACGTAAAACTCGTGCGATGCCGAGATCACTCTGGTCAGTGCATACAGACGGAAGAGTTTCCAGAGGACTGCGAGGCTCTCTGGATCGATCTTGGACAACGTGTCAGGGTTATTTAGCTTGTCGTGGAAGCTCGTCAGCACAAGAAACTGCGAGTGGGCACTGCTGAGTCGCGAGTAGTCCACTAGAAGATCGTTCTTGGGTCTTTGATCGTTATCGCGGCGCCGGAGGAGGTCGAAAGTCAGGTATGCTGCGCGCCAGCCGAACGCGGCAAGGATATCTTTGTCTCGATCCAGATCAAAGTGGACAGGTGTGTGCTTCTTTGCCACGTAGGCTGCAAGATTCTTTGCTGTGACGTTTGATGGCGCGTCACCTTTCAGGACGGAGAGGGTTATCTTAAGAAGCTTAAAGCATAAGTGCCGTTAGTGCCTTTACCAATTGATTGAGCGCACTGTCCTGATTGGCACACACTTACATAATTGGCTGTCTGTTGCGCCAAGACGTAATTGTCACCTTCATACGTCTGTGAAGGCAGGTAGTCCATATAGATAGCTCCTATACCAGCGAAGCTAGAATATCCATGCCCTCCACACGCACGTCGACATACTTCCAACCCGTCGGCCGCAGCGCTCGTCGCAAGCGCCTTCAGACCACACGAGGTAGCATGGAGCTCTGAGAAGAGTGCCTTGGCTCGCTGACCACTAGATCCACAGCCATTATTTGATTGTCCAATTGCAAGCGTTGTCCGTGCATCGTGGTAGAAATCCGTCATAGCCTGTCCCGTGAAGTTCAAGGCGAATGACTCTGCAACGAGCGGGAAAAGCCGAAATTGTACCATCGAATAGTCGAGGACTTGAAGCTCAGCACTCTTGTCTTCCGAATCCGGATCAGAACATTGACGCCGGACAGCGCAATAACGGACCGCAATTGTGATTCCTCGAGCAAGATTCCGAGCTGACTCTGAAACGAGCGCCGCACGCAGCATCGTAAGTGTACCATAAACCATCGCGGGCGATTCGGGCGGAATATAGACATTTGTTTCGTAGTCGACTCTGGAGAATCTAGAGGAGACTTTCGTCAGCTTATGATGGCGCTTACCATAAGAGGTACATTCAGAGGTTTCGTACTTAGCGAGCATGTTGATATGAGGAATTTTAACATGGTTTAGAAACAGAAAGCCATTGTCGACGGTGCTAGTTGGCCTTTGTCAGTGCACAATATTTACCTCATCTTGTTTAGTGTTGCTCACTTGTAGCCCAACTTCGGTCCAATATCACCTACATATACTCCATCGAGAGGTTTATGGGTGATAAGGTCCCTGATCTGGCAGAGAAATGGATGCGGCCCGTAGTCTTTGCCATTCAGTATCAGTCGTGCCATAACCATTGCATGATTTGCGCAGAGCCCCATCGTCCCAACCCACCATTTTGCCGCGGTGAGATGCGGTGAATGTAATGTAAATGTGCGGTCATCAGGATTCCAGGTCGCAGTTGTCTCCAGCTTGCGAACACTGGACCCGTGGCCTAATTCAGTCTGCGCATAACACCCTATAATCTCCATGCTCTCGGCCTTTCTGCGAAAAAGTTCATGTTGTTCTGGGGTTCCCTGCTCCTGCAGCGTCGGCTAGATATACCATCAATCAAGCTGGCAGACACTCAAAAGTGACTTGACTTACCAAAAATCCTTTCCAATGTAACGAAAATGCCGTTGGCTCGCCGATCAATTCGATAGCCCATTTCAACTCGTCCTCGCTCCAGTTGTGTGTCTGGTGAAGTTGATGCAGTCTCTTGGCTCGGGCGACAGACGTTTTGAACCTCTCAATCCGCGAATCGAAGTAGTTTCCGCCTTTGTCAAAGACTGGATCGTGTTGAAGCACATCGAGTATGCGTCGTTGCATTTCGACTCCTTGTTCTGTGTATAGCAGACATGCTAAACGATCTATGTCGATTTGTGATTTCTGCCGTTCTGTAATCAATAGGTTAGAGCCCTGTGGTTCAGAGGGCCTAAGAGACACAACCCACGAAGGGGTAAAGCCTGTGCTGTACTCCCTCGCCATGACCTAAAGGCAGTTTTGCAGAAGCAAGTAAGAGTACAATATCAGGGACCTACGCAAAGCAGCAGGTACAGAGAATTAGAGTAGCTGAATGCCTTGTTCTATATCATGTAGTCCTATTGACGGCGGCTCAACTTTTAAGAAAGGAGAAGAGTTCTCTCTCACCCGAATCGGGTGAGAGGAAACTATTATAGCCTCCTCTCTTTTCTATCACGTGAAAAGGGTAAGGCGACGTTAACTGATAGCCTTGTCAACTGATATCCTTGTCAGCTAATAGCCTCGTGCTTTAGCTCTCCCTAGCCTAGGCTTCAACCATCCTTTGCCTTATCCGATTCTTCATATACCACCCACCCGATTCGGGTGGAGAGCGCGGGGTGCTTGGGGACAACGGTGGGCTCGTGGCATATAAGCAGTATCACCTGGTGGCTTTCGCGGAAAGAAAATATCATTTTGTGAACATCAATCTACGCGTCAGTGCCAAGCGCAACTGCAGAACATCTGCTCAGGTGATGGAGATTGTTCAGCTTGTGATGCAGTCCAACTAAAGATGCAAAAGCTTGTCACTGCTGGTTAGTCGGTTCCGTCGGCTCCGTCCATTGGGGCGACGTGATGAGGACATTCGCAAGCCGCTTCTAATACGATGGAAATGATGACGTGAGCCAGTCCTCATTTCATAGGAGTGATCTACTCGCTAAAGGTTTAGAATCAATGTTGATGACAATGTGCAGGTTGACAATGAATAAGTCATATCTGTGGTTGAGAAAGCATGTGCTTGGAAATGAAGACCCCCCTATTTTTTTCAGCCTCGGTTCCTTGGCCATCGACGCCGTACTACTTAGTTTTCCGATCAAAACATGGCTTGGCCACTCCCTTTTCCCTTGCCTATAGCCCATTCGCTTTGCCGACACGAACGAACACTCGCTGCTTGCTCCAAAGTAAAGCCTCTAGCCTCGATAGCAGGGTTATAGCCTAACCCCGTCAGCCGTGCCACCTCTGTGTCCGAAAGGCTTTGGTTCCCTTGTCCATCTGAACGTCTCAACACGGTAACCACACACGCACCCCCCAGTCCAGCGTTCTGTTGCAACGCCAGCTTTCCGGCAGGAACTGATACCGATCTGTTATTTGCCCAGCCTCGTAGTTGCCATGTAAGCTCAGCACACTGTGCTAAGCCCGTTGCGCCCAATGGATGTCCCTTGGAAATTAGTCCGCCGGAAGGATTCACGACGGCTTGATCACTGCCATATGTGATGGAGCCATTGCGAACGTACTCATGCGCCTTCCCCCGAGGGCTTAGGCCCAAGGCGTCAATGACCAACATTTCGTTTGTCGAAAAGCAGTCATGTAGCTCGACTACTTTCACATCTCTGATGTCGGCCTTAGCCTGATTTAGCGCCTGGGAAGCCGTGTGCGCGACTAATTCATAGCCCACCAGACTCATGGCTGAGTTTTGGTATAGCAATGGGCTGTCCGTGGTCAGAGATTGTCCTAGGATTTGGACCGCTTGGGCTTTGAGGTGGGGACGGGCGTCGAGAAAAGATTGAGACACAACCACAGCAGCGGCAGCGCCATCACTAGTTGGACAACATTGTAACTTTGTCAACACACCGTAGATTGCCGGAGATCCGAGAATTTGCTCTTCTGAGTACTCAATCTTAAATTGCGCGTACGGATTGCGTTGGGAATGTTCGTGATTGACCCTTGCAATCTCGGCGAAATCTTTGGGGGAGGCGCCATATTTTTTGATATACTCGTCGGCGGCATTTCCAAACATCTTCGCAGCAAACGGGGCATTCGGGTTTGAATTTCCCAGCTTATCTGACATCGACTTGGCCCGGTCAAGCGGATCGGTTCGATCGCCAAAGTTAGAACCCAGGCTTCCAGTGGCCATCTTCTCGAAGCCCACAGCAAGCACACAGTCTGCAGCGCCGTAACGGACGAAGTCTCGCGCCATGACCATAGCCGTCGACCCTGAGGCACAGTTGTTGTTGACGTTGTAGATAGGTATCTGGGTCATTCCAAACTGGTAGAAGACTCGCTGTCCGCATGTGCTATCCCCATAACAGTAGGAAGCCACGCCTTGCTGCACATCGTCGTATGTGATGTGTGCATCTAACAAAGCCTTCACTCCGGCTTCAAAGCCCATGTCAACGTAGTCATTACTATGCTGAGGCTTGACGAACTTCGTCATTCCAACGCCGAGGATAAAAGCCGCCCGGTCGGAAAGCATTTCGAAGTCTTTGACAGGAATCATATCTTGTTCTTGAGCTAACAAAGTTGATATCTGAGCGCAAGATAGAAGTGGTGTAAAAATCAAAAACACATCAACGAAACCTATAATGGAAACCCGTGTGTCTGTAGACTGAATCCCATATTCTAAATTCTGCCTTTCCAATAATTGGATCAACCAACCGCACAATGACAGCAGGCCTTGGGAGATTGAGTTAGAGACGGATCCGACTTGTCAGCTTTTGAATACTGTTGGCATATCCCTCCTCTTGCGGAGTCGGAGCCGCCTTATAGGTTATTGGCAGAACAAAGTATGCCCGTCGCGGACAGTCTCGTGTTGTATCCTTCAAGGAATGAGAAGCAGAAGAGGTCAGATTATGCTGCATTTCTTTGCTCTATTCTTCTAGGATTGTGCTCAGTAGAGGAGCATTCCCCAGAGGCAGGCGAATCAAATTCAGGGGGAGATTGAACTGATGCTGATTGAGTCTTACTTCGAAAGCTGCCTGATATCCCTCTTCCAGTCCTGACGCTGCTAACGCTGCCTTATCACGTATGTCAAGACTCTGCAAAAAGTGCGTCTATTTGCATTTCCAGGCAGCTTAACTAGATATATCACGGCCGACCCAATCTCCACGGCGTCACTTAATTTTCCAAACCATCAGAGGTGCGATTTCAGGCTCGTCCCGTTGGAGTTTTGTTTCTTTGCATATTCTCGCAACTCCCTTCGAAGGATCTTGCCGGACTTGTCGAATGTTAGCTATTTGAGTCACATAATATTTTCTCACCGTGCTTGGCATACCGGATTTTTGGGAATGGAAGACAAGAAGCCGACACCCCCTGTGAGACGTTTGATCTTGGACACCTTTGATGCAACAAACTCCACAATCTCCTCTTCTGTTATCGCACCGGCATGTCGAGGAACCACATACGCACGCGGGTCTTCATCATCCGATGGACTGAGCTGCGTTAGTTCGCCTAGTAGACTTGTCCTCGTCGCAGATACGTACGTCTTAACGCCGATGACGGCAGCATCCAAGATTTGGGGATGCTCAAGTAGAAGCGCTTCAAGTTCAGCGGGAGCAACCTGTGCTCCTCGGACCTTGATCAACTCCTATCCTCGGTCAGGTATGCTGTCGCAGCTTAAGTCATGAAGGTATGTTTGTCACCTTTTTTCTGTCCACGATATACCATTTGTTATTCTCATCCCTGTAAGCGATATCGCCACTCTTCAGCCATCCGTCGGCGGTTATCGTCTCTGACGTTTCTTTAGGCTTACGCCAGTAACCCTTCATGACATTAGGACCGCGGACCCAGAGTTCCCCTAGGCTCCCCGGTCGCGTCTCCTCTGTCCCATCCTCAAGCACTAGCTTGGCCACCACACCTGGCACAAGCTCTCCCACTGATATTGATGACGGGCCAGAGCTCTCAGCCTCATTCCAGCACATGGCGATACATGGGATTCTGTCTATCTATTAGCATTTGCTTGGCATCCTGCAATGAATTTGTTTGAACAAATATCGTACTCTGACATGCCCCAAGCCTGTCGAACTCTCACTCTTCCTGACCAGATCTCTTCGAATTGCTGTGTAACTTCTGTGCCAAGAGGCGCCGCTCCAGCAACTACCTTCCTGACGCTGCTGAGATCGTAATCGCCATTGCGGGCAGACGGATGTTTTGCAATAGCTAACAGTATAGGGGGTACCAGAAGGAGCTCCGTGATTTTGAAGCTGTCGATACACGATAGCATGTCACGGAGATTGTATCGTTGCATCATATAGCTCTGTAATCCCGATTTTGACGCCACAAAAACGAAGTAGACAAGACCGAGACCATGGTACATCGGAAGCACACATAGGCTTCTTCTTTGCGTGACACTCTTGTCTGATAGTTGCATCTTCATCAGCTGCATTGTGGTGCTGACGAGATTAGAGTGCGTCACCTCGACACCCTTGGGCAGACCGGTAGTCCCAGACGAGTAAATCAGTATAGCTGTTTTGGTGGCCATTTCAGCCGTCTGAGACTCATCCCACCTGAAAGCACTGCCCACCTGAGGTGTCGTGATCAATGTGCCCCAGTGTTGTGCGGTGTTGTTGATAAGTTTCTCTTGCCTCTCCGACGCCGTTGCAAAATGTGAGGGTAATTCTTCAAAGAGGAATAGGTGACTCTGATCAATGCCGGCTGATTTGGCTGCCTCTTGAGTTACTCTTAGACAGTTCTCTGCTGCGAATACAAATCTTGGCTCGCTGTCTTTCAATTGGTACTCCAGTTCTCTGGCCGTGCTGGCTGGGTTCGCACTGTTGTAAATTCCACCAGCCATCACGACACCCAGCACTATCACTGGTGTCCAAAAGTTGTTTCCTGAAACCAACATCACTCGGTCTCCTTGCTGTATCCCGGCCGCTGTTAAGCCCGCGGCAAATCGCTTTGACCATTCTCGTAGGCTATGAAGGCTGAAGGAATGTGTTTCAGGACGCTTCCAATCGAGCAGGATTTTTTCAGCATCCGACAATATTCCCGTTGGCGAGCCAAAGAGGAAAGAAGGGACAGATACATGAGGTGGTGACAGTTCCCACCTCGACTTGTAGGGCATCTTTTGGAAAAAGTGGTGAGATTGTGGTCCAGCGACGGTGGTTGAATGGGTTGAAATGCCTGAAGCCTTTCAGGGAGGGAGGTTGAGGGATGCGTCACAAAGGAAATGATATATGCTGTTATACGGCGATTCCCCTGCAACGTCAAGATCGAATGTTCCAGGCAAGCAGAAGGGAGAAAGAGATGACAAAGTAATGAATACGATCTTTGACAATGGAAATCTATCCGGCGTTGACACCTTTGCAAGTCGAGGAGATTTCCTTTAGATGTTAGCGGCTCCGATTGATATTCCGCTGAACTATCCTTCAAAAGGTTGAGCAATTTGTCGGACCCGACGCATATCAGAATCTTGATAGAGCCGAAGTAGCTGCAGAATAACGTAAGATTGTAAAATGGCCTGTGCGTGAAAGAAGAAAAGGGTAGAGCGAGTTTCCTCGAAGCACGACTTTCACTGTATGTGCTAGAATTCAAGGTCACCGCAGGAATCATGGGAAGCGCAGTCCATACAATGCATTCCGAAAACTACATCAGCAAAATCCGGAAAAGAGGAATATTTGGTGCGTGCTAAGTTGCTGCCGTTAATTCTCTCGCACTGACGCTGCTCAGAGAACATAGTCGTCTTCTGCACAGGCGGATCTGGAGACATTTGCAGCTCCCACGTCAGGGCATTGGAAATGTCGACGTCCGCAAGATTGAGGATTTAGAGGCCGCTGTTTTGAAGTGTGTCTCGACGCTAGGAGCATCGATTTTGTCATGTAAGGTTTCCAAGATTCCAGCCCTGGGTAGATTGTCGCAGCGAGCATGTGCCTGACGCTGGCCAGCGCTGGAGCTGCCGGAAATTTCTGGCGCCCTTCGTCCAACTATCCACAAATGCTTTCAAGTCCGTGATCGATATTGATTTGATGGGATCATGGAATACCGTCAAAGCAACAGTACCCCATCTTCTGGACTCGGCGGCGAAGTATACTGGAGCAGGTAGGTCGACGCAACTGTTCGGTGTTCGACAATCCAGGCTCAGGTGATTACGAAGGCGGTCGCACAATTTGCCTCAGCGCTACCCTTCAATATACGGGTATCCCTTTAAATACCCATGGAGTTGTCGCGAAAGCAGGAGTTGATGCATTGTCAGCTCAGCTAGCAATAGAACTTGGGCCTCGGGGCGTTACCTCCAACGTCATTGCCCCTGAGATTGTCCAGAGTACCGAAGGAGAAAGGCGACTCTTCCGGAACTCGGAAATTGATATGGTCAGAAGAGTGCCAACCGGCAGACTAGGTACGGTCAAGGATGTCGATAACGCCACCGTCTTCCTGCTCGCTGAGACGGGGGATTATGTGAATGGCACTGTCCAAGTTGGTGAGTGTGTCTGCTTTTCTTTTGTTGCATCACTGCAGATAGAGAATAACTGACGAACGCGGAATCAGTGGACAGTGCTGCTTGGAGAATCGGTGCCTAGGTTACAAACAGGGGTTGAATACCCTACTTCTGTCCTAGTTGAGCCCAAAATCTCGAAGCCCTGAAGCCGAGATGCGGGAAATGCATAGCAACATCATGAGCAGTGACAATAACTTCCCCCAATCACTTCGTGACCCTTCAACCACTGAGTGACTGTGTGATTTTCTGCGTTCGATTTTGTGCGTTGAGGCAAAAATAGGGTGATTATGTATCTAATATGTCGAGGCTCCAACAATCCAATAAAATGTCGCCGTACCGACGCAAGAGATCCTGGAGAGCAGGTCGTGCAATGCATTCACCAGACACTGTCTGTTGAAGTACTGAGAGACAGGCTAGTAGCGGTCTCAGCGATAGCATCAGATCTAAAGATGGCATTGCTGAAGGTTTTAGATCCATAGAGACAACCGACGGGATCCCCGGCGATATAGTGCTACAAATTGCATGTTCAATAGCCTTCACCAAGGCTAGGACTGTCACGCTGGTATTTGCATGGTGCGAAATCAAGGACAGGCTGTTTTCCCGGACGTCTGAGAATCGGAAATCTCCATCTGTAGATGCTTCGTTCATCCGCTCAGCGACAGACACGCAACGGGATATGGCTTTTTCCCGGTAGTTGGTAGCCGTTTTCAACACCAGCGCTTTGCTTGAAGAGTGGATAATCTTGCTCGCATCCATTATCACCTCGACGACGCAGAGTACGCCCAGATTCCAAAATAGAACCAGAAAGCCTAGTTGACAGACAAACACATTAGAATAACCTCGATGTTGTTTTGGGAATGGGGGCTTAGACAAACCGGCAAATTGCTTCGATTGTGTAGACAACTGCAAGAAGATATTCAAGCATTGATCCATCCAATCGTCATGACCAGCATGGAAGGTGTCGACAGCTTTTGTCAACAAGTTGATACGGGCAAGGATTTCATCTTCGTCGAGGCTTTGTGGATCTTTCTGAATAAAATGCTTTAGGTGACTTATTTGTCGGAACAAGCTGAAAAAAGGGCGACTGGCCCTTTGCGATGTCTCCGCTATTGTGTCTTCCAACCCAGGCGGTAGAAAAGTCGCACACATCCTCGGGACGGTATCTGATGACCTTTGTGAGCTTGGTAGACACAAGGCATTGCAATTGACGAACCTGCTGTCGAGCTTGGCAAGTCTTCCATCGTACAGCGGCGATCGCAGAGGAGAGACGCCATCGTATCGCGAACGTACCCAAACCACCGAAAAATCCGGTGCGATGAATCCAAGAGAGTTCTATAGACCGATTTCGAGTCGAGATGTGAGTAAAACTCTCCCAAAAGATTAGAAAGCCTTCGTGATTGAAGTAGGGCACGGTCCAGGAAGTAAACAGGACTATCTGAGAACTCGGCTTTCAAGCGGGCCTCTTCAGGTTGTGCCGTCATGTGGAATAGGTAGACCGCGTATAAATGGACAAACGACCCGTGGTTGAGTGACTTCATGAGATTAGAATGTGCGTCGAACCACGCTGCTGCAAACATTTGTGTGGCCTTTGCCTTAGGTGCGGCGTCCGAGACACCTTTCATGGTTTTGACTGTTGGGACATTTGCGCAACTGAACTCAAGGTCATCCGGTGATCCGAATTGTAACGCAAAAGCTTGCAAAACGGACTTGAAGGTTGCTTCATCTAACTTGCGCTTTTCCCGATCAAGCTTGTTCCCATACAGGGCTCCAAAATTGTCCAAGAAACGAGCAACTCCTATCAGTGTTATTCGTCTGAACGATTCGACTTGTTTCCCTGAGCACTGTGCTATGCCCTGTCTCTCGACTGTCTGTTCGCATGGACTTCTTTCTGATGTAATGCCACTTTCTAAATTCTCGCAGATTTTGTGGTTGAAATCGATGATCCGATTTTCATGGCTCTCCGCTTCGATGATATACCCGTGCGTTCCAGCAAATTGGTTGCAGGTATATGATAGATATCTGCTTGCCAACCCGATCATCATCGTATCATAGACCCGATAAAGGTTCTTGGCCATTTGTTCAGCTACGGCGGTGGAGTTTAGCAGGGTAATTGGGCTTCCATGCCAGAACCCCGACAATGCGCCGTCACCGAACTGGAAATTCTGGCGGTTCTCGTCTGATTGTTTTGTCGTAAACTCCGTCGGGCTCAAAACTGATGCTGCTGCCGGAACGATAGCATCAGCAACATTGCGCCCTTCAACAACTTCATTGGCAGGAGTTCTCTCGGACAGATCCATCCAATCTTGGGAGTCGCTGTTCATGAAGTTGTCGAAATCAAGAAAATTATTCGGTCCCAGACCAGTCCAAATCATGTCGTCGAGACATGTTTCTTGCTCCATAGGAGGCTGAAGGGTCGTCCATAGTGTCTCCGAGTTCATCGGCGTAATGGCGGTGGGTAGTTCAGGGTTATTTCGGGCCGATGACTGAGTAACTGAGGACGTGGAGCTGGGTGGAGACATCATCTTCCCTCTTTTTTGAGCTTGACGAGCTGCAACAAATTTGAAGGTGCACATATGGCCTAAATGAGCGCAGTTCTGACAAGGCTTCCCGCTACCTGGTCGGATATCAGGATCAAATGCGCATCGTTTCTTGGAGTGACGGCAAGGGTCGCAAGAAGCGTTTTGGCGGCGTCCGCTCGAGGGTGCCATGGCGAAGTCTCTCGAGGGAGTTTAGAAAAACGTTCCATGATGAGGCAAAGGGATTTATCGTGCTCCTGACAAGAAATTTGGCCAAAATCACAGACTTGGCCAACGGGGTGTAAACTGTAGTTGATAGGGGAGCCAGGGGTCTGGAAAGTAAGAGCACATGATCGTCAAGCGCCAAGAGTCGGCTCCGCAATCAGACACTTGTCCCAAAAGGGTAACGATCAGGCCTGTTGCATGAAAGAGTCTCCACCCTCGAATTTCTCAGCAGCCAGACTTCTTGTCCAGACATCTCTTGGTTCCGCCCTGAGAATTCTGTGCCCGGACTCCGGGAACCAAAAGTCGAGGCTATGTCATGTCGGATGCCTGGGGTGTATCAAGAACTAATACAATAATGAAGCCAGGTAAGAAGGGAAGCATACAAACCCTTTGGAATTTGTTCGCCTCCTCCCTCGCCGCCTTGTAGGGTTATACCTCATACTCTGTACCATAACTCTCAACATGCCTGCCGTGAGTTACAACCAGAAGGTGGTTATCATCACCGATGCAACTACTCCTTTTGGCCAAGAGTGTGCTGCCATGTTTGCAGCGCGTGGCGCGAATCTAGTCCTCAATTTTCCTCCGTCATCGCTCCCGGCGAGTCCAGCTTCCCCCCTCCAGAGTCCAAGAGACCGTGATAACCGTTCAATGATCGAAACGCATCAAGAACTCAAAGAGTCCCAACGGATCGTTGCAGCGGCCGTCGGAAAGTACGGCACTGTCCATATTTTGATCAATAACGCCTCTTTTCGAAGTCCTGGTCCTGCATATGACCTTCAGAGCTCTACTGCCTGGGAATCTATGAGAAGAGTTGTCATAGATGGAGCATTCAAGGTAGGTGTGGCCCCATTCTTCCCAAATGTGTTTCCGACTTTTTCAGTGTGCGAAGGCAGTCTGGCCACATTTTCGCAAAAATGGCTATGGAAGAATATCTTTTATAGACTCTGAACCTATAGGGTGTGGAGTTGCTGAACTTGGTATTAGATCCTTTCTCAACAGCTTTCGAGGCATTGTTTGACACTAATCAGCTAGCCGATTTGCCTTGTTTGGATTGGCCGAAACATTGGTACGAGAAGGAGTGAAATACAACATTCGGGTGAATGTTATTGCTCCACAATGTAAGGAGTACCTCTCCTGCATTGACCATGTTTGTTCCGTTTACTGATATATTTCCATCTTAGCCCCTTGCTACGTCACAGGCCAACACCTGAGCTCGTCTTTGAACCCCGCTGTGCAGGGGATTACGTCCCTTGCAGTAGCTCTCAGCCATGAATCGAACAAGGACGAAGCTGGTTCGCTCTTTGCGGTTGGAGATGACCACATCACCAAGTTCCAATGGGAGAGGTCAAAAGGTGTCTTCTTGAATCCGGATATCAACTTTACTTCAGCAGCATTGGCCATTAAATGGGGCGAGATCTATGACTTTTCGGAGAAAACTTACTCAACTTCGGCAATGGATTTTGGCAGTCTACTGCCGCAAATGCAGGAACTACCAGGCAATGCCGAGCTTCCTGCTTCAGATTTTTCAGGGCGGGTGGTCTTGGTTACCGGTGGTGGATCTGGGTGAGTTCCATCTTCCACCCCGAGGAGATGTTGAGAGATTAACCCGCGAGATTAGCCTTGGCAGGGCGTACTCTATTGCCTTTGCAAAATTGAGAGCTTCAGTGGTTGTTAACGATCTAGCCGATCCTCAAGCCGTGGTGGATGAGATCCGCAGTGACGGTGGCATAGCCGCTCCTGTCATCTCCTCAGTGGAGGAGGGAGACTGCATCGTCCAGAAAGCTCTCGAACTCTACGGCCATATTGACATACTTGTTAATAACGCAGGTTTCGTTTGCGACAAGTCGTTTGTGAACATGGATGAGAACATTTGGAACTCGGTAATGGACGTACACCTTAATGGTACATATCAAATGACCAAAGCCGCGTGGCCACACTTTGTGCGTCAAAGACATGGGTGCATCATCAACACGACGAGCACGAGTGGAATCTACGGCAATTTTGGTCAAGCCAACTATTCTGCCGCAGTGAGTAATGTTCCCATCTGACTTTCCCGTGATTGGTATTGACGAAGGGCAGAAATTGGGTATCCTGGGCGTATCAGAAGCTACTGCCCGCGAAGGACAGAAGTATAATATTCGTGTCAATACAATTGCTCCCGTCGCCAGCACTAGATCGTTGGCCATGGCACTAACTGATACGGACAAGAACAACCTGACCGTCTTCTTGCCTGAATATGTCGCTCCAGTTGTAGTTCTCTTGAGTTCAGATACGCTCAACGGGAAAATCAATGAAACCACTGGGGGTTTATTTGAAGTTGGTTGCGGATGGCACGCAAACACCCGTCTCCGTCCTGTGTCCGAGCTCAAGTTTTCTTCCACAGCGGAGTTATCCCCAGACGCTCTATCAATGCCTTGGCTAGAGAATACAGAGCTGCAGAAAGCAAACGGAAGCGCCAAATCTCCCATCAATACAAACAAAGACGTTCTTGAGGCCATTGCTGCGCTCAAGCGGGTCGACGTCGAACACAACGAATACAAGTTTACGGAGCGAGACGTGGCACTCTACAGTATGTACCACCCGAGATTTTGCGCGATCATTGACTGACCGCCGATACAGATCTCTCAGTTGGAGCTAAAAGGTTGGAACTTTGTTTTCTATGGGAGGAATCGACATCCTTTCAGCCGATACCAACCTTCGGAGTGATACCATTCTTCAGCATGGAGACGATATACTACCATGGCCAATTCCTGCCTCGGTTCATGCCCACTCAGTCGCTATTGGGTGAAGTCTATCTGGAAATACTTCAAGACACCATACCCAGTTCAGGGCACCTTCAGACGCGTAGAAGGCTTGTAGAGGTTCTGGATAAGAAGAGCGCAGCGGTCGCTATCACGGGTTATACGACGGTAGATGCCACTACCGGGATACCCCTTTTCTACAACGAACTTTCTTTCTTCATGCGCGGGGCGGGTGGGTTCGGCGGCGTACGTGACCGGCCGCATCAGACACCGTCTTCGCGCACATACATTATGCCAACCCGACAGCCAGATGCGGTCGATGAATTCCGCACTTCCGAAGAGCAGGCTGCATTGTACCGGCTGACCGGCGACCGCATGGCGATGCACATCGATCCCGAATTCAGCAAAAAGGGAGGCTTTCCTCTCCCTATCCTTCACGGAATGTGCTTCATGGGCATTGCCGGCAAACACCTCTTTCAAAGATACGGATCTTATCGCAGTATCAAGGTCAAATTGGTCGGCACTGTTGTCCCGGGCCAGACACTGCGGACTGAAATGTGGGAGTCTGAAAATGAGAAAGAGCTAGTGGTCTTTCAGATGAGGGTGGTTGAGACTGGGAAACTTTGCATTGCAGGGGGAGGTATATGGTTACGGAATCCCTTGGGTCACTTGAAGACGTCCATGTTGTAAGGCAACACTAGCACAGGACTTCGCCAGAATGGATGACCAATTACAGATTTCCATTCATATATGGACGGTTCCACAGGCGTACTCATCTCAATACGCCAAAATGCATGGGCAAAGGAGCCTCTTTAATTACACGAGAGGATGTTGATCAGGAGTCATGGTTCGCCTTTTCTACCCAAATTCGATATTCTTCTCAAACCAAGTCTGGCAGGTGGAAGCGTGAGTTATGAGCTGGTTGGTTGGTAGTCTAGCTACGAAAGGGAACGAATGAATATGTCCAGGTTGCCTAGGCAGTCTTGGCCACGCTTTCCGTGACAAAGTCCAAGGAGAAGCGAGACCAGTCGAAGAGATAAAATCCAACAGAATACGAGAAGGGGTCCAAGCGTTGAATATTGCCCAGCACGATCTCAAGCACTTGCGTTCTCACCTAAGGTCGAGTCGAACCTATGTATGCTTTCGGCTAGTAATTATCGGCTCCGTCATGCTTTTGTAGAAGACGAGCTTGAAATCATCTGAATCCAGTGAATTGAGAATCCAAGAACCGCCAGCGGCGTTCATGAAGTCGATAAATATGTCTGGCAGCCGATGGCACCGACACGGAGCCGATACCAACATCACCTTAAATCGAAGGGGGGAAAGCAAACTTTCCCCGTGGGAAATGCAAAGCTTCCGAGAAGCCCCCGCAAAGTTGAGCTAGCTAGGTTCCCACCCCATGGGGGGCAGTAATAGGTCTCTCGTTTCTATATAGACCCTCTTCCTGGGACGTGAGTAAGATCTTCCTGTGTTCTTATTCTTAGTGCTCTAATACCCCTGATCACAGTTTGCATTGATATACCGTGAAACAGTGAATCTCTCATCTCCTCCGACAAGCAAACGGCACCATATCCTGCCTCGATCGTCTTTCTTAGGCCGGGATGCCTGAACAACCAGCAGGAGTCGTCTTTGACCCGGACACCAAAGTGGAGGCGTTAAATTATAACCTTACGCACCATGAGGAGGCTTTTGGCAGTAATAAAGAGTCTCGGATCTTACAAGAAGAGATCGAGCCCAGCGTGGATCATCGGCTGGAGAAGGGAATCAAGTTAGTAATGCCCAATCAATCATCACCTAAACGCAACCTTGTTGCAAGATTGTCAGAACTAAAAGACCTGCCTCCCAGACGCAAACTGGATCTGCGCCTCCTCCCAATTTTGAGTGCAATTTACACGATGGCGCTAGTCGACAGGACGAATTTGGGAGGTGCTAGAATCGCGGGTATGGACGAGGCCACGGGCCTAGATGTTGGAAACCGCGCATCGGTCACGAGTACAACCCTCCTGTGTCGCTGGCCGATCTACCGTTTCTGACAGTGATCCCCCAGTTCTCGTGTTTTTTATCGGCTACATCGTCTTCGAGATCCCGAGTAATATGGTGCTGAAAAAGGTCGGTCCGGCAACTTGGATCTCTGCTCTTGCGGCTGCATGGGGATTGGTTACCCTAGGCATCGGCTTCAGCAAGAATTACCAGACGGTAGCAGTGTGCCGAGTCCTTCTTGGGATCTTCGAGGCTGTAAGATATTTTTCATACTTGCATAGCGTCGGGGTGAGTTTTGCTTTTTTGGGGGGAGCTGACTTCTGAGCACAGGGGATGTTCCCAGGGTGTCTTTATCTAATGGCATCTTGGTATCAGAAATTCGAACTACAAAAGCGGTCAGTAAATGTTTCATCTCATGAATTTGAAATACTGTAGACATGATACTAAGGTGCAGAAACCTAGAGTTGCCACCTTCTTCATGACCGGGTCATTTCTGTCATCTTTTGCAAATATATTGTGTCTGGGGTTGACGAGAATTGCCAATAACCCAGAGAAAGATGGCTGGAAGTACATCTTCATTGTCCAGGGCGCCATGACCATCGCTATAGCCGCCATAGGATGGTTCGTCATCGTGGACTTCCCCGACAGCGAAATTCGTAAGGTCAAGTTCCTCTCCGCTGACGAGGCGGAGATGATCAAGCTGCGTCTGATCCGAGAGCGGGGTTCTTCTGAGGGAGAACGAGTGAGCTGGGATACCATCAGAGCCGTAGGCCTTGACTGGCGGGTGTGGTCTCTGTCAGTTGCATCTCCTCTCAAACTGTTCCGCGCCGAATCCTGACAATGCTGATAAAAAGGTCTTTCATCTACATGGCAGGTGCTGCGGGAGTGTATGGGCTTTTGTTGTTTCTACCAATTGTCCTTCGACTGGGTCTTGGATACTCTCAAACCATGTCCTACCTCCTCGCCGCACCTCCAGCCGGCGCCGCAGTGATATTCACCTTTATCGTAAGCGTTCTCTCTGATAAGTATCACGTTCGGGGTCCGTTTGTTCTCTTGGAAGGTTCGCTGGCAATTATAGGTCTATGCATGATCGGATTTTTGGACAGCCCCACGCCGAGATACGTAGGATCCTTCTTCGGGTCGTGCGGATCAAACGCCTTGATTGTCACGGCAGCATCCTGGCAGCAGAACAACATCAGAGGCGACGCGAAACGATCGGTCCTGGCGGCTTTTCAGGTCATGTCTGCGGGCGTCGGCGGAATCTATTCGGCGCTGGTATTCAGACAACAGGTGTGCAAAGAAAACTTTTCCGGAATGAGTTGATTACTGACATTTCACCTCAGGATTCACCAAACTTCGTTCCCGGGCTTGTGGCATGTTGTGCTCTTGTTGCATGGTCGATGATACTCACCGTGGTCACTATTCCGTTCCTTGTCCGCGTAAATCGACAGGCTGATCGAGGTGAGAGGGTTATTGAAGGGAGCACGTTGTTCCGATACGTGTGGTGAAGGATGGATAGAGCAATATTCAAGATGTAAGGTCTCAGGGGTGAGCAAAGAGTCATTAGATGATATGGAGCGCGAAGAATTTATAAACGCTTGCGGGAATTTGGAGGAGTGTTCATCGGCCTGCAGCTCCTGGTGAGGTCAACCTGCCCGTGACTTTGATATTACTCCTGAACGTGTCATGCTAAGCCATCCGGTCCTACGCGCGATTGAGGGATTAGGAGGTCAATGTTTGAGGTTGACATGAGGTCCTAGACGGTCGAGGGTGGACCAATCTGGGGGCCATAACTCGATTGATTCAAAAGGCTTAAATACTACCTTGCCTTTGCCCTAGTGCCAAGAGATGTTCTGAGTTGCCTAATCAGGCTAGTCCAGCGGTGGGTGTGGGCTCGGTGCCGGACCACGATCGACATACGGCTTGTATACGGTTTGATGTGATTTACGCGGCTCTCCGTGGAGATAACCAAGAAAAACTTGGACTTGATGTTGATTATGGCATTCTTTTGGCGCCCCTTTTAGCAACTTTTCGACTATTACTTCCTATGATCCCACAAATGTGCGTATGCCGCGAGGTTCCAGCGTAGATGAACATGTGCAAATTCCGGCTTCTTGGGCTGTTAGAGCTTAGCTGCTGACCGGTGAAGCGGTGTGAGGGGGAGCTAGGGGGTGGCTCCCCTGAGCTTTGCGGCGTTGCGTATAGCCTCGAGCACAGCCCTGCGCTATTGAAGGCAGCCGTAGGCTTTGAAACCTGCTCAGCCTGATCGTGCTTCTCGACCGTATTTAATATACACTTCAGATATTACGTATCAAGAAAGTTGTCTGATGCAGCAAGGTAAATATCTGCGCTCTTTTGTTGGTATTTCCGCTCCTAAGGCTTTTGCGACCGTACTGTTGTAGAGGCCATGGACGGGCCGATGCGATTGATTACTTCTCAGCAGATAGATGCAGAACCTGCTGAGCCATTGGTCAACTCCGACTTAATTTCGTTGGCTAGGAGCAAAGACGTCTCTGAAATCCCGGAATCGACGGATATTTCAATTGAAGAATCACAAGGTGACGGTCTAGAAGCCACCGCGTCTCCCGTGGAGGCACAGCCGAAAGTCCAAGGCCAGCGGCATAGAAGGTGAGTAGCCCCGTACGTCGCAGCCGACATTTCTAAAGGCCTGAAGGACGTTTGTTGACTTCGTTGATCTCCTGCTCAATCGCCTCGGCCGGACTGTTGTCTTAACATACACTTACTTGCGGGTACACAGTCCCCTGTCCAAGAGCAGAAGATCGCAGTTGAAGCATATGTTCTTAAGGTCTCGGCCGGCGTACAGCACCCCAATTCGCAACAGGAAGCGGACAACGACGAGCTCCATACAGGATGACGAATGGGTGCTTTGCTTACCTTCGTCCTGGTCGGCCTCTGTCTTCTCAATGAATTTGCACTGCTAATCACTGCGCTTATTGTTAGGCGGACATACTCGCAACGATATAAGGGTGTTGTCTATGAAGGGAGCTGCATTACCACTAAACGCTGGACGACATTGACGTCCCTTATTCTCAATTTAAGCGAAACTCTAATCATAGACTCTAGCAACTACGTAATGCAGTGGCTGAGTTCTCCTTCTGAAAGAGAGCTTAGATATGCTCATAAATATGGGAGGTCTCTGCAACTGTGCGTTTCTTCTCCATCAAATATTGTCTATCTGGCTCCTCGAAAGACAGCTCTCTGGTGGCTGATGAGTCTCAGCTCTACACCTGTCCACCTTCTCAACTCGGCCTTCTTCGCTTCGCTTCAGTCGAACGACTACGGAATAGTCGTGGTAGCCTCTGACTTCATTGAAAGCTCGCATTGGTATCCTTGAACGGAAAACAACAGCAAATACCAGACAGATACCTGGACCTCGTTGGCATGTTCTATTTTCACAGAAGCTACAAGTGGCAATGACTATGAGAATCCCGACAATCAGGACTGTATTTTGCGATATTCGAATCTATGGCTCAGTAAATATTCCAATGTGGTCCTCGTATCAAACCTGAGCTCTTCAGACCGCTGTAACATGTCGACCTCTAGGTTAGGTTCATTTCTTGTCCTAGAAACATGTTCTAATTTATGCAGTTTCGCCGGCTCGAACAGTTTCAATTTTACCGCCGAAAATTCATAGAAATAATATTGACACCGGCTACATTAACCTCAGTTCTGGTCTTGAGCCGGAGCTACTAAATTTGTCAGCTCGGTTTGGAGTTTTCGACTCGATTATCGAGCATGGCGTCTAGGCGGCGGTCGAACAATGGAATCGTAGGATCGAGCCACCTATGACCCTTCATCCTGGATGCGGAAGTGGAACTATTCTTTGCCATGCACCAGCAACGCGCCCTGCGGAATGAGTCAGATTGGAGGCTCACTCTAGATAACATGCCCATCTCACTCTAGATAACATGCCCATCTCACTCTAGATAACATGCCCATCGACTATTGTTTGAGCAAAAGAACGGCACACGATGTCCGTTGACTGGATTATAGCGGTCTTATCTTTAGCATCATTGTGAGATCCGACATCGTCAAGGTTCTTGTGATCATACTGTAACAGAGCACTTCAGGGTTCGGCGTGCACGTGCAACAACGCTCAGAGGCCTGTCCAGCAGATCGGGAAGCGAGAACGCGTTTCTGGTTGATACTGACGAGACAACACCACCACCAACACCACCCAAAGGGGGCAGCAGCTAGGGCTACGCACACCTAGCACAGCGGCAGCATCGAGGAACAGGACAGGACTGATAAAACACTCAAGAATAGATTGACGGCACCAAAATCACTGAATTCACGATACTCCTTCAAACTGTCAAGAATGGCACTCTGCCAGCACTGTAAACTGTCCTGCTCCCAGCGATCTAATTAGGTTTGACACGTGAGCTGACAGACCTCTGCCCTGCCAGTCCACCACCAGCCCAGCACAGCCACGTCGCCTTGTTACAATACCAGCTCCGCGTTCGATTAAAGATAACCCTGTTGTAACGATCGGAGATGCCCTCGTTATTTTCCTCGAGAACCCCGATCCGCACACCATCGGAAAGTGTCTTACAGACCAGGAAATGGCAATACTCGAATCAGACTTCTTCTGGTTTTTGCCGCATGACTTTGGAAGAATCGATGATGATGGTACGGTTGCTTATGCCTGGTCGCAACATTTTGGTCCTCGGCCGACTGCATGGGTGGTGCCAAACAAGTGATGGTTCAGTGCTCCCTCCAAACCGAGGTAGTTTTCTTTCCTATTCTTGTAAGTTGACTACTGGAAATGACGCTTTACAGCACTGATGTACGGAGCAGCCTAGTGCAGATATTTGTTGCTGCCGGATTGACGCTTGCTGGAGGTCTTGTAGACCTCGATGACCTCGCAATAGGAAGTGTATGGACTACTGGGCTTGTGTCTGTAAATCCAAGTGCAATTTTCCAAAGCCCAACATCCAGCAACTTCGGTGCAGATATCGGCTTCATATACCAAGTTCTCCTGGTCAACACACCGCAATTGTTATTGAGCTTTCTATATTTTATGTACAACGGCATTTTCGCAACTATGCACGCTACGCAGGAGATCGCCGGGTTCGCCACCGAGCGCAAAACTCTACGGGTCATCTCCCTGAGGCTGGTCAACGATCGACCTACTGGCTTAACCTGCCATGGTCTTACAGCATTCCCTTGCTTATCCTGTCGAGCATCCTCCATTGGCTGCTGGCGCGCAGTCTATATCTCGTCAATATCAATGTTACCGGGCCCGACGGAAATTGGCAGCAATGGCGCGATATTCCTGCGATTGGCTTCAACAATCTGATGCTGCTACTCGTCGTGGTCCTTCTGCTATGCATGTTGTTGTTTCTAATTGCATGCGGATTTCGAAAGCTTAACGCTCAGATTCCGTTGGTTTGGAATGGCGAGTGTTGCTATCAGTGCTATGTGCCATCATCCCAATGATCCGCATACCGAAGCTATCAAGCTGCTACTATGGGGTGTCACGCAGAAACCTGTTGATGGGAAATCAGGACACTACACGCTGTCGAGTGGTCTGGTGGAGGCTCCAGTCGCAGCAGACATTTACAAATAACTCTTCGCACGAAAGGCTAGACAGGCAACAGGTTTACCTGGTGGCCCTGACGATTGGCGAGGTACGGGCACCCGCTCAACCTGATCGCACGGCCCTGGGGTGGTCGTCCCAATCCGAAGTGAAATGGAGTACTTTTCACTCATCTTGGCTTACCTCTCTCTAAATTGCCAACTCGTTTATAGTCCGCTTCGCCAGTGTGGCTGTTTCGAAATGACTCATTGGACGTGCTAGCCACCATCGACGGACGATGACCAGCTCGTTTGGTGCCCACGACTCCGCCGCCTCTGACTGCAAAAAGAGAGCGACATCAGACAACTGTCACCATCAATTTGACGCTGATTGAAGTGGAGATTATGGACTCGTGGCGGGTATTGCTCCAGAAATTTCGAATGAACCTGTTGTCTCTGAGAACCATTGTTGGGCAAAGTCCAAGGTGATCTTTCTGACGCCGCCGGGGCTAAGTCCTGTATAGCCCACAGAGCTAGGTGGGAATTAATACGCAAAGTGTAATAGAACTAGGTAAATCTGTATAGCCTGAGACTCTACTTTTATAGCTGATCTCGACAATGCTAGGGGTAACCTTTATCGATAACGAAAGCTATATCTGTGAAAATAGTGAACCCTGTGCTTTGTCTACACCTATCTATGGTCGTATGTGACACAGCAGCCACTTCGTAGTCTTTCGGGACATTTCGATGCATTAGGGGCTGCATCCAGGTTCATAGCACACCGTACCACTTATTTTATCGACTGGTTCGCCACCTAGGCCACCAAATCCTGAGAGCGATGACCTATATCTCTGCCTCGGCGATCGGGTTACACTTAACCACAGATTTATACTCCAAATGTAGTCATTCCACTCCCTCAGCACTCTTAGTGGCAGTTACTCCCGCTTGTCTGCAACTTGACCTGCTTCGACTTCCTCGGCGTGGCTTACCACAACAACCTTTTCATCAGTTCCAAACTTTCCTTGCAAGACATCGTTCGCCGCGTCTTCTCGCAGATGACACTGGTACTTGGGGAACTTGCGCACTGACACACGGTTCAGGAACATCTCGTCGAGTTCCTCCAAGCTACGGCCCTTCATTTCTGGCATGAAGACGAAGAAGAAGACTACACAGGCAAAGTTTGAGCCGGCCCAGACGTAGCCATACTTAGCGCCCTGTATGCAGTGTTAGTTCGGGAGGGAGGCTCCTTAAGAATGGGGTATTCAAGCCTACCAGGCCCAATTCAGCAGGGTTGATGAAGTACGGTGAACAAAAGCTCACCAGCCACGCTAGAAGATATCCAATAGCGGTGGCGCTTCCTACTGTCCAAGCTCTCAGCCTCGTGCTGACCACTTCGGTCGCCACAGGGTAGCTAGCGCCGCCGACACAGCCATTGTAGAAGAACTTGAAGAGTGCAATGAATGCTGTAAGCGTATTTGCCTGGATCCGCGCGGAGACACCAGCGCTTGCTGTAACAGCTGGTATGAGTTGGCACAAGCCACACGCACAGGCACCCAGGATCAAGATTGACCGTCGACCGAATATGTGGCGCATTGCGTACATGCCGACATTAACGCCAACAAACCCAATGCAAGACGTCATGATTGTGTACTCGAAAGGCTTGGTGACGCCGCCTTGCTGGAGGAAGTACGTCTGGTATGCAATTAAGAACCAAATTCCTGAAGCGGACTGGCAGGCAATCATTCCGTAGCAAAGGAGCGTACGACGAAGGTCGGTTCCTGAAACACGTGGGGTGTTAGTGAGCTACATGGAACGAGCGAAAGCGATTATACCTCTGAACATATCAACCCAACCGACACTCTTCGCCGTCTTCTTTTCCTCTTCCATGCCTCTTACCATCTCTGCCCACTCAAATTCCAGCTCCTCGGCTGTCAAGGCCGTGCCACGAAGTGTAACTAAGGACCTCTTCGCCTCGGCCTCTCTACCCTGATGAAGCAGGAAACGAGGGCTTTCGGGGACGAAAAACAGACCAATCGCAAGAATCGTGGGGACAATGTACAAGCAGCCAAGAGGAATTTGATAACATGACTTATCCAGTCGTCTTTTGGTGAAGTTGTTGACGGTGCCGCCGAGGATGCTGCCGATGTTCACCCAGTAAGCAAAGAGCGCCACGAGGACGCCACGGAGATGAGCTGGTGCTGCCTCGGATGTATACACGTTCGAAAAGGTCACGAGGAAGCCATTGGCAATACCAAGCAGGAGGCGACCGACATATATAGCACCTTTCGAAGTTGTCGCGATTTGAATGGCCACAGCAACAGCATTCAAAACACAAGC